CTACTACTACTACTACGACTGCCACTACTACTGCCATTACTACTGCTAGTAGGCCACCAAAGCGCTCGACTTAAAGGGGCAGTGATGTTGATGCTACCGCAGCTGCTGACGGCTATTACAACGGTTGCCAAAACTTCTGCCGCTGCTTCTGCTATTGCTGATGCTCTGGGTAGTTCATGAAGAGGACTTCGGCGACTGGCCGTGCAACAGTTGCATGAAGACGACCCATGCAATAACAAGGGCATGGGCTTCGATGGGGTTTAAGGCTCCATTTCAGGTGTGGGCTCAGGTTTGAATGCAGTGTTCGAGCCGAAAGGACACACTACAACTGGATCCTGAAGCTTCCCTGTAAGGACCGTGTAGCTTCCTTGCGAAGCCCTAGGAACACCCCCTGTGTTATGGAAGTTTAGGTGAGGGTTCCATTTTTTTGGGTGATTTTCTTAGGGTGTGTTTAAATTTTAGCAAAGAAGGCAGAGGCTTCCTTGCTTAAGGGCAAGAACCCAGTCACCCAGGTCCTGGCCAGCAAAATCTCTTCCCTGTCTGTCCTCTTCGTCTACTACCTTAGGTGCGGGGCCCAAGAAGGGCTCCTTCGGGTTTTGTGCATCTCTGTGCTTGGCTTCAGCTCCCCCCCTTTGAGCTTCTTGGGATCTCGGGCCCGGAGAGCTTGTCTTTCCCAGAGAGGTTTCCTGACTTCAACAAGCCGCATTGCACAGCCCTAGACGGGTGTCGGGCTCTCGGCTTTGAGTTTACCCGTCGATACATACCACAAGCACCCAGAAGCCAAGAATCGCTGAAGCGGGGGTCTCGATGCGACGGCAAAAGTTGCAGATTGCCAACCGGTGCGGGCAGGAGTCGTTCATCCTTTTCCGCAGCCTTCGCAAAAGTAGGCGTTTTTCGCAGTACAGGTGTTTTGCTTCAGGAGTGTGTTCTCCTCAGTCGCAGTGGTTCGGATTCAGGGTCAAGGCAGCCTTCAGGCGGAAAGAGGGCTTTGCTGCACGTTCTGGTGGCGGGCTTCGTCAGGAACCGATTCGAATCCAATGACGAACATGGCCGGAAGCATGAGTAAGGTTTGGGGTTTCCCCAGTGGAAACTCCTTACATCTCTGCAGAAAGCCTTGGTACAGTAGCACCCTGAAGGCAGGCACCCTTCTACCTGATCACTAATAAGATAGTACCCTTATGGTACCCGTATGGCACCGTTTTAACGCTTAGAAGGCCGTTGCAGTACCTTTTTTTCACCCTTACAGAACCTTTCGCATACCTTCATGGTACCCTCGCCAGGTGGCCCTTCTATTTCTTCTATGCAGGCTCTCTGCTACAGTCTTTTGTTCCGACTGGAGCTTCTTGTCAGAAAACAGAGCTCTGGGCTTGGAGGGGGTACATGGAGGTTTGAAAATTCATGGGCTTTGGTGGGTGGCCTGTGGGATTTAGAGGCAGGGTTGCAGTCCTGGAAGAAGAAGATAGGAAATCGATCGTCGTGGCACACGGCAACAGTTTTGGGCATTGCACGATGGTAGTTGCTTAAGCTGTCACAAGTATCACCCCCCTTGGCTCTCCGAACACTTGGTCAGGTTCTCTTCAATATCTGGGCCATGGACATGACCGACGAGGGTGACCGGACCACGTTCTTTGGCATTATCGCAGCGGCCACCATCCTGCAGGCAGGCTCGGCAAAAGAGGGCTTAGGCGGCTGTCCTGGCGTCCGGATGCCAACTCCAAGCATCGCCAAACCTGGAGCACGAAGCCCTGAGGTGTGTGAGCAAGTGAAAGCTGAGACACTGAGCAACATCTGGCCTGCATCACTTTCGGCCTCCAGCGGCAACACGAATCGAAGCTTCGAACCTTCGCCGATCTTCGCCGCTCAAACCCGGAGACCCCATGCTCTTCTTTGGGAGTCCTTGCACACAAAAATCCACAACCCCAAGCTGAGTTCTATTCTAAACACTTCTCAGCCTAAGCCTTGAGCCTCTGCACTCTTCCAGAGCGCTGTGGCGCCCACGGTTGGTGAAGTGGTCACCGACCCTGCGACCGCCGCCCGTCAGGGATTTCTAGGATGGAGGATCTCTTGCTATCTTAAACCCTAAACCTTAAGCTGGTGATTCAGGCTTGCCCTGGTCGGAGGTCCCCTCAACAATGCAGATGGAGATCGGTGAAGGGAGCCTGTTGAAGGGAGGCCTATGATAGAACAAGGTATAGGGCCCTGATAAAGACTTGTGGCTGTTTTTGTCAAAGGTAAACACCGTGCGCATGTATCAGTTGTTCTGGAGAACCAGATGAGGTTCATGAACATGCCGTTTCCAGGGTTGGGATCCCTACAGCATGGGATGTGCAGTTTTCGTCTCTTGTTTCTTTCTCCGTGGCATAGCCCAATGCTCAACAGCAGAGTACGACCCATTAACTGCACTTCGAGCAAGAGTTCAGATGGCAGGTTCTTGATACTAGGGTACCTTCTTCAGGCGATTACGCCCTCTTTTTGGTTTTTGAATGTTGCATCCGTTTTCTCCAATTCCTCAGCTCCTGGACTTCATGGTCTTCTTCAAGCTCATCGCGGTCCTGGTCGCCATCTTCCTCCTGCCGGAGCCGGAGTCTCAGGTGCTGCGAGAGCTGGTGTCTGCTCTTATGCTCTTAAGCCCAACATAAACCCTAGGCCTTAAGCAGTAGTAGTTGCAGTTAAGCATGCACCACGGTATAGCAGACTATGTTACACCAGAATATGCTACATCAAATTGCAACATTCTACACAACATGCTAGAGTACACAGTAAAATGCTATATTGCACCGTATTCTGACGTTAACAAATAAAATATTTTGGTATACTTGAATAGGCTACAGTATACACCCAGCCCCACCGACGCCTTGGAGTCTGAAGTCTAAAGGCTTTGAAGTCCTTGGACTGCGCAGGACAGGGCTGAATATAGAAGCTTGAAGTATTACTATTCCTTCAGCTTCCGCTTTTAGCATATCTATAGTCGAACCTGCACCCAAACCCAGTATTAGTCCTTAAGGTTGTTGATCGTATCTATACTGGACTGTGCCTCTATATTAGTACCTTGCGAGTCTAGGACGGCCCATGGACCCTCCAGGCTGTAGAAGGTTTTCAACTGCCTGATGACCTTGCCGAAGCCCTGAACCCTAAACCCTTCCGGGTGACAGTGTATGAAAGTATCTGGTAGTATATGATAGTATTTCATAATATGGTCCTTCCGGTTTTTGGAATTCAGGGCTTCCGGATTCCAATGGACCTGAGTTCCCTAATCAACCCGCAGGCCTCACGTAGAGGGTTTTTGGAACAGGGGCCATGAAGGGTTCTCCTGGATGTATAGGGATTCGTAAAAGAGGGAAGGGTTAGGATACGAGGACGATACGGTGATGTTGACAATCGCCCGAACCTCTACATGAGTCTCTGCAGCGATGTCAGGGTTTAGGGATGCGAGGGTGAGAGTATCTACTTACGTCATTTCCGAGGGACGAAAAGCCTTAAACCCGGCCGGCTTTGAAGCCTTCGTGATTTTGCGAAGAGGCGAGCATCACCTCCAGCCAGTTTGCTTCCTTGCAGCCCTTTCTTCATTTCACCTGCTCACAATCTCCAAGGCAGCTGCCTAGATCTGTTAAACCCCAAACCTTAAACCCCAAACCCTAACCTTGAAGCTAAACCCTACAGGCCGCTTCGAAGCCTGTAGCAAGCCCGCACACACTCATGACTGACACCTGAAGGTTCGAAGGCCACTGTTCCTGGGAGTCCATCTTTTGAACCTGCTACAATACATTATATTATAGCTATATTCTACTATAATACACTGTGATACGCTGTAAAATAATCCAATATACTATACTAACTATATTGAAATGTATTATAGTATATCATAAAAGACTGTAATATACTTTAATGTATTGTAGTATACTATAGTGTACCATAATATGCTTAGATGTACCATAATATGCTTAGATGTACCATAATGTACTCTACTGTATTATAATCGATCCTCATGTACTCTCACATGCAAAAAGATATGGCAGTATGCTATACCTTAACCCCGTATAACCTACCTTTTTAAGGACTTATATAAAGAATTATAATAAGGAACCCAGGAGGAACTCAGAGCTGCCGAATCGAAGGTCCAAGGGTTTCAGCCTGCGCGCTGGCGCTGGAGGACGGGGGTTAGGGGTTGGGGTAGGTAAGTTTCGGGTGGGTAAGGAAGAAACGCACTTTAGGGTGTATGTGACAGTATGGCTGGGGGCAGCGGAGAGGTAGGTTGTGCTTTGGGGCTGACTTCGTGGCAGTTTCCTGCGAGGCTAGCAAGGTTCTTTTTTTGTTTTGTGTTGGGAGCTTGATCGAGTTTAGGTAAAGCGAAAACGCCAGTTCAGCCTACTCCTCAACCCGGAGCCTGACGCCCTAAACCCTGGGCAAGAATCCTCAGCTGTCAATATTTCGGGTCTCAGTTGAGGCTTTGAACCGCTCTTTTTCTTACTATAGCGTTCAGAGTTTAGTACTCATTCGGACAATCTGCCTGTGCGTTGAAGGGCCCCCCCCCCCCACTATTGAAGCTCGGGCCAATGGCCGCCGCGGCAGTGTAATTCCTATCATGTTGGCGTCGATCCTCGGCCACAGCAGGCACAGTTGTTCCCTGCCCTAAACCCTTTCAGTCGTTTACATTGGGTTGGTTCCGGTTCGGCTGTGCTGCTAGTGCCCTGTTCCAAGGGCTCTAAGTAGTCCACGACCAGGATCCTTAATGCAACCACTGCGACTGTGTAGGATCCGTTCCATCTGGGCTAGCCTCGGGCACCCAAACCTCTGCATATGGACTGTTGGTGGCCTTGCAAGTAGCTCGCGCCGGGCGCCCGAACTGCGGAAGCCAGTTCCTGAAAGCCGCCACAAGCCTGCAACTCTGCAGCTTCTTTGAACTTAAAATCCTGAGACCCTAAACTCGAGGCCCTAAGCGGCATGCCCGGAGATCTGAGCCCAACGAAGGCACCTGAAGATGCTTGAGAATCCAAGAGATAGCTCTAACAGTATCATCCCTAAACCTGGCAGCAAGAAACCCAGCAACACCCTAGACCCTTGGCCCTAGAGTCCAAAGCCTAAAGCCACAACTCAGGACCCCAAGCCTTGCAACCCTTACGGCAGGTGTCGCGCCAGAGACCACTTCCGACATGTCCTACTGGGAGTGCTGCAAAAGACTCGTCCAAGCCGCTGGACCCGGAATTTCTTCGCTGTGGGATGTTGCCGTTGTTGTGCATACGGGTTTCCTTCTTAGATTTGCAACAACCCCTGGGATCAAAACACTGCTTCTGCGGTTCCTGCTCCCCGGGGCACCGTACTATGAGAGTGGCTGGAAATAGAGCTCCACGGCAAGAAAGACCTGCTTGCATGAAGAAGCTCCGAGTGTTTTCGAGTAGTTGGGGGCCACGGCCGCCGTGACTTTCGGGGACCTGGTGGGTTGGCATTCGGCTTGGCGTGCAAGAGCGCCACCCCCTCTCCCAAGTCCAAAGCTCTGCAGCTTCCGAGGGCCTGTACCCTAGGCGCTGCAGCCTCTTATGGTTTGGCTTTTATTGAAGGTTGGGAAGTGACGAAATAATGATGACAACATACCCTTATGGTTTCTGTCGCTGAAATCGCCCCTTAGACGAATCATCATGATCATCATTTTCGTCGGTCGGACCAGTAGCGCCATTCCGGCGACAAGCCTTCGAGACGCCCGCGAGAAGCCTGTAAAAGCCTGCGGGACATGTGGGAAAAGCCCATGTAAGACTTGCTGGAACCCTGTCTGTGGGAAGAGGGACGCCTGTGAAACTTATGAGAAAAAGGCGGGATTCCTCTGATTCACCAAGGCACGCTCATCTTTCTCCAAAGCATGGCGGTCACAGTTACGGGCAAAGGGGTGTCGGAGTCTACACAGCCCCTGCTGCAAATGGGGTCCCCAAGTTTTCCCAAGTTTCTGAGCTCCCTGGCATCGGAAGCTACGAAGATGATCTCGAGAGAGCTGAGGACCCTACGTCGCGGACAGCGCCCGGTTGCAGTTCTTGTGTGGGCAAGGGTTTTTGGAGAGGAAGTTTTGTTGGGGGTTAAAGTTGGGGGGGGTGGGGGGGCTTAGTACAAATGGTTGAGCAATTTCCTATACTATCTCGCAGGGTTCCTTACCGGAGTTACACGTACTTTTCCATACCATGCTCTAATTATTCAAACATGAGGTCTCTTTGTTACATTAGCCGGAGTTTGGAGGTGGCTGGCGAGGGCTTTTCCTCTTATTTGGGCTTCTTGGGTGCAGGCATTCGATCAGCAATAACTGGAAACAAGAGGTGATCTTTTCATGCCCGGATTTCGGAACTTGGTGTTTGTGCATCGGCTACTGGGATGCTCAGGTGGCTTTCTTCAGTTTAGTGACGCCGCGGCTTTGGAGCATTGTGATTGAATTCCATCTCTTGAACTCAGCATCTACGCCGAAATGCCCGAATGACAACTAGGGGCTTGGATTACTGGCTTCAGGCTTTGCTTGGCGATCCTCGTCATTAGAAGAGGCCGGTAGATGCGCAAGGCGTTGGAACCGCAACCCTGAACCTCTCAAGGCCTTACAGACTCTTGAAGCCAATGGGAAACTTCATGATCGAAGAACCCACAAAAAACCCACGAGGCCCTCGAGGCCTAGTTTCACCTTAGGTGCTGATCCTCGTGCTCGTAAGCAGCGCGGTGACGCGAGGCACTGCCGATGTCAGCGACGCTCTGCTTGTTGGTGGGGGGATTGGGCTGGAACCTCGCAAATCTCATTCTATCTACCCGAAGCACACAACGGACCGTATGGAGCATGCTACAGTGCTGCAGCTTATGTAGAAAGTCTGTTCTAGGAGAGCTCGGGAAAGTTCTGGCGGTGTTTCTGCTTCTGATGGTTTGTGGCTTTCTTGTGGTGTAGCTGCTGACCTTGCATGTAGCCTTTTGGGAACACATTTTCTTCTTTGGGGTCAGACGCCAGAACAAGCTTTCGGGATCTATTCTACTGGGATCATACTCCGGAGCCGGAAAGGTAATATTGGCAAGACGGGCTGCACCCAAAACCCTAAACCCTAAAGATAATGAGGCAAGTCCGAGAGTGAGTGCTGAAAGATAATGTTGGTAAGACGGGCTGCGCTCCTCAAGCCTCCTGGCTGCAAGCTTTTGCCCCTCTTCTGAAGTGCCCCGTCACACTTGAAATATGGAAGCCTGAAGATCACCAATACTTTCTTTAATTTACGTTTACTATAAGAATATACCCAGAAAGCCCGAACAAATTGATTAGGGCCCCTATGGTAATGGGGGACTAATGCCGGAGACCTCGGACGATGAACCCCAAAGAGCGCGGCACCCGGCCCCTCCGAACTGGCGAGAACGTCGTTCCGAGGGCCAGTACAACAAGAACGTCTTTGGGATGACTTCAAGGCGGGTCCGGACACCTTTTCTCGGTCTCAAGTTGAGGGGATTGCGGGGTTTTATATCTAGATCTTGGGCTGTTTGGCAGGGAAGGGTTCCGAAGGGCGTATTGCTACTCCGTTGCTTTGGACGTCTTTCACAAGATCTTGGACCAGAGAACAGTTCCTTGGTCCGTTGATCTTGTTGCTAGCAGTTGCCAGCCAACCCATGCAACTTACTGCGTTGCTGAGAGGCGTGGTTAAGCTGCCTGTTTGTGGTAGGCTGTTGCTGTACTTGATTTGATAGAACCCCCCAAAACCCTGAACCCTGGTTGCCTGGGATAGCTGAGTTTGGGGCGCACTGGGAGGGTGGGATGCTGGACTTCCCAACTTGCCACGCGAATACATGGGAGCATTAGAAGCTGAACGATATGTTAAGCACCCCTGCATAAGGTAGCACCACTTGTAAGAACCCCCCCATGTGCACGGTCCAAGAGAATCCGAGAGTTGAGTGGAGACCGCGAGTCGAAACCCCAGAGCCGCCTAAAACCCTCTAAACCTCACCAGAACCCAGACCCCAAGACCCTCAACCTCCCCAAGCCTCCGAAAAAAAAAGTGCGTCTAAACCCTAAATCCCCCGAGACCCCAAAGAAGATGAGGGTCAACCGGCAAGGCTGCGGGCCACTTTCACCTTGATCGGGGTTGCCAGTGGTCTCTTCTGCTGCCCGGCGAAGAGAAAGAAGAGGCTTCAGGGGACCAAAGGAGACCAAAGGGAAACCGTAAAGACCCAACCTTTCCAGGCTTCCCTTCTTTTGTCGAGCAGTTCGCAGGGTTTGGCGTCCAGGCTCTGACAGAAATCCAGAAGTTCTTGGATCCTGGAGTTTATGCACGCTAGATGGGTTTGGGGTTCAGGGATGATTTGCAGAAAACTCGAACGAATGCAAGCTATCTTCAGCCAGGGTGCAGGGGCGGTTCCGGCACAGGTGACGGCACGTTTGTACCGCGCTGCTGGTTCTTGAGTTCTCTGTTTGCGCATCGTGAAGCTCGTCGAGTCTCCTTGTCTCATCCACTGACTCTTGCCAGCTCAACGAATCGTTTTTTTCTCCAACTGCCGTTGCACCACCCCATCGCGGCATGGTGTTCCTCATCCACTAATGAAGTGGGACTGACATGGACTGACACCTTTTGTGCAAAGCAAGGGGTCGCACCTCTCACAGGGACATTCACAGTAGCCCACATGCCCCGCCACCAGCCGAGGTAACCTGGTGCTCCTCAAACTGATGAAGACAAGGCTGAGCACCAAGAGGCAACTCCGTATTGAATTGCGGGGTTCAAGCTGTTTTAGACGCCCGTGGGATATAGCATATCCAGCCCGTACAGGAACCTGTATAGTAATCTTAAACACTTAACGAAGCCGCTGGCCTTGATATGTTTGCGGCAGTTGAAGCTTTGTTCGGGGAAGTGAGGCAAGTGCTGATCTCGATGTCCGCCGGCATGGTGAGCGTGTTCCTGCATCTTGGCTGGACTGATGGCTGCAGTGTCTTACGGATTAAGGCTTAGGGCTTTAGGGTCTTTGCCGTGATGATTGCAACCGATGACAGCGATTCTCAATGTTGCAATGCAGGCCATGTTGGGTTGCCCTGCTGTCATGGTATTCTTGTTGGTTTGATGATCATTCTGGCGGCTAGAAGATCCCTGAAGCCTGATCGCCAGGGTTCAGGGTTTGGCCGTGTCTTCGGCAGAGCTGTCTGGATGAGAAGAGTGTTGGCTGAGCGAGACGGCATCGCTTTGAAGTCTTCTTGTAGGTGGTGTTTGACAGTGTGGGATTGTCTCGGCGCAACCCCCGCCCTCACGAAATGCTGTAGCCAAGTCGTAAACCTAAGCGAGGCCCAAGCCCCGGAGCATAACCCTCAACCCCGAGCGCACGAATCGAGACCCTAAGCCCTAAAGGGAAGAGGCCCTGAACAAGGATGACTCCATGTGTCTGAGTTGCCAAAGCGCAGGTTTGCAGAGCAGGCTCCAAGGGGTCCTATAGGTGCCCATTTCCAGTGGCCCAGTTTTGCACTGGAAGACGCCGAGAGATCGGTGCAGACACCAATACCCTCAACAAAGAATGGAAAGCACAAAACTGGGAAGTTTCACTTGAGCAAGACCTCGAACCACATGCCCTCGCCTGGAGTGTCCGAGTGTGAGCTCAAACAGCCGAAACCCTCAAACTTCCCTCCCCTCACACAGTGATCCCCATCAGGAACTTGGTCGCCCGATCTCTGGGCCCGCTTTACGTGGCGACGGCCCTGACCCTTCGGGGTACGTGGAAATGATTTTCTTAGTTTTCGGTTAATTCCTATAATCCCAAAGAAACAGGTACAATTACAACTTTTTGCAAGGGTACCAAGTGCAGTGTAGGACCGGCCTAACAAGCCTCTTGGGGACCTTCGTCAACGTGCTGAAGGCTTGGGGGGCTTTTGGGGTTTTGGAGGTTTCCGGGATTTAGGGGTTTTTGGGGTTTAGGGCTTTAGGTTGGTTGTGGGTTTTGCGGGCTTCTGGCCTCTTTTTTCATAGTAAGTTTAGGCCTGGGTCAAAGGCTCAGGCTTTGGCTGTGACGATGGTGGTATGATGATTGCGGTGCTGACGGTGATGCTGGTGATGCAGCTGATGCCGATGCTGCTGGCAGCGGCATGCGACGACGATGCTTGGGGACGGGGGCGGGATTGGGGCGGGACGGGGGCGGGACGTCGCGTGCCGAGCAAGCTGCAGAAAGGGACCATGTGACGGTCTCTTTTCGACGTTGCACACCCAAACACCTTGAACCTCAAAGGATTAAATTAAGCCCCAAACCCATGCTGCTCTGCGTATGCCTGCATGCCTATGAACTTTGCCACCTCACTGCCTGGCGATGTGCGACCAAGCAAGGCTGGGTTGGTGACCTGTTCATTGGATGTCACTTTGAAGCTTATTTCTGGATGGTGGTCTGCCTTGACCGTGAACGATCTGCATGTGACCTCTCCCTAGCTGATATGTGTGAAGCATCAAGTACGCATGACGTGGGGTGCTGTCGTTGCGCTGTAGACCGTTTACGCTCAGGGCCCGGGGGTTACTAAGTTTGCTAGATAGGTGCATAGAATGTTTCCTGGTGTACCTGTAGTAGCCTTTGCTTGTTTGTGCCACTTGTCTTCTTGCTCTGCGCTCCCTTGAGCTTCTGCGAGTCTTGGTGGGTGTTGTTGTGGTGGATATGGTTTATGGTCTAGTGTTGGGGTCATGTTGTGAAGCAGTTCCGGGCAGATGTCTGGTGACCTCATGCAGCGTTTGGGAGCCTGGGGCCTGACTGGGTGGTGCTATGGTGCTAGATAGGTCGAAGAGGTTCTGGTCGTAGTCAGTTCGGTCCGCCAGGTTCTCTGAGTCTGGATTGTGTGGAGCCTTCCTTGCCTGCTGTGTGCGAGTCGTGAGAGTCGAAACCCGAACTTGCAGGTCAACGTGGCGCAAACATCCGGGATGCCTGCTGGTGCCGTCGTAGGCCAGCTTTGAGCGGCTCAGGTTCTTAGGCAGGGTTCAGGGCCGTGTAGGTTTTAGCAGAGGTTAGGGTTTAGTATATTCTAATCGCTGCGAAAATTGACGATTAAGTGTTAATACGGCACTAGAGGGTTAGAAACAAGCCCCGGTTGTTAGCATAATATGGGACAGTAGGTGGAGCATGAGTGATGGGTGCACAGATCCGCGAGGTCTGACAAGCATTCGCCACTGGACACCTGAAGCCGCAATAATTAAGCACACGAGACAGCGCGGCGGAAAGCTCTCTGCTGCCCAGGCCATGCTGATCTCCCTTGTGTCGCTGGAAATCTTTATTTATGAAACATCCGAAAAAAGGGATCGGCGCCGAGAAGAATTGCATTGCCCCAGGGATGATGCACCCCAATCGAGAACTGTACCAAGGAAGCCCGAAACCCTGAGGCAGGGACAGTTGGCTAAGAACGGGGGGGGGGGGGTTGANNGGGGGGGGGGGGGGGGGGGTTGCAGGTGAGGACTCCTTGTCGAAGTCCTTGCCAGTCAATTTGATGTTGGAGCATCCCGTTCACAGCCCGCCTCCTCTGGTTCGCCAGTTCGCGGAGGGGAAGTCCGAATCAAACCCGGAACCCTAAACCCAAGCTGGGACGTAGCCTGCCATGCCTGCGCGTGAGTCGAAACCCTAGACGGTTCTTTGTATTTCGTCTTGTTGGCATTTCGACTACGCCTGAGACCTCGCTTGAATTCAATTTAAAGCAAACCTTAAACCCCAGGCTGGCCCGTCCTCTGCGCCAGCCCCGCCTTACCGGAGTTCTGCGAAAGAAAGAGCAGACATGCATAGGGTTTGTCGACAAAGCTCGCTGGCGGTGAACGAAGTGCGGCCCAACAAGCCCTAGAAGTGAATCGGATGCCGTTCACGTCAAACCCGAGTTTGACAATGTCGCAGAGACCCACCGAGCACTCGACACGTCCTAGTTGCGCATTACTTTCACCGCCGCAGCGCAACATCACTACACGCCACCAACGCCGAACCCGAAACCCCAAACCCTAAAACCAGTGTGCACTGGTCAGCTAAGCGGGTGGGAGAAAGCCCTAAACCCTGAATTCCTAAACTCCAAAACCCCCCTAAACCCTAAACCCAAAAACCCTATATCAGGCCCTCAACACATCTCAAAACCCCGAATCCTAAACTTCAAACCCCCCGGTAAACCCTGGGAGGTCTCTTCGAGTCAGCGAGCGAGCTCATGGCCCTGGTGGGGCCGCCCTTCTTTACCGCTGCGCCTCAGCGAGCCAGGGGTTGAGCTTTTTTGTGTTTTCAGGATGCGGTTTTAGCTTTGGGGCTGTTGGAGGGGAGGAGTTTTGCTTTTCAGGGTGACCATCTGGCTCTTTTTTGAGGTTGGGGAGGGGCTACGGGGTCAGGGTTCGGGACAGGGTGTATGAAATTCGTACATCCGGGGACTTGGGAGGCGAGGCTCCCCGGGCCCGGTTTTCAGAGACCGTTTTGGGCTTTCGGGCCCGAAGAATCCCCGGAAACCTGAACTCTAAGGCTTTTTTTTGGCTTCTTGGTAGAACCCCAGGCAATGACAGTACACGTGCCGACCTTCCAAAGGTTGAGCTCATGAGCACCGCTACTCACAGCTAGCTTTCGCGGTTATTGCTGCTACTGTTTACTACTGTTATCCTTATATCATTGATGGTCTATTACTAGTTACTGGTTTTATCCAGCGTTAGCACAGTGGCTGTGATTATCACAATTGAAATTATGATTGTTGTTATTCTTCTTTTTGCGACTTTGAAACGCGACAGGCTCAGACCAGCACATGCCACCGCCTTAAGTTCGCAGAACTCGTCACAAGGTTTTTTTGGAGCAAGGCAGACATTAGCGCCATAGTCCGAGAAACCCACATCGCAGAAGTCGGATGTTGCCAGGGCTCTGCAACCTTGTTGCCAAAACAGGCCGCAGAGATAGGTGCAAGCCCACCATAATAGAGCCCTGCAAGCATGTCGGCTGGAAAGCTGGAGAAGAAGATGGCGGCGCTGGAGCGGCGCATGCGCGAGGAGATTCACGGCCAGCTTTCCTCGCTGTGGTTGCGCCTTCAGATAGTTGAAGAGAAGATGATGATCGAAACTGCAGCAGGCCCAGAGGCCGATCGAATCGACGTCGCGGGGGATTTGGTCCTTCCGGGAAGTGCGATGAGCGCCGTCGTCCCAAGTACTGTCGCGGACGCCAAGGGCAGGAAGGGCGACATCGCAGCCAGAACACCTGTGTTTGAGCCACATGTCGGCGAGATGGAGGAGGAGGACCAGGACGAGGAGCCCATCCCATTTGCAGAAACAGTTTGGAATGTCGTTTTGGTCCTGGGATCCACAGGCGCCGGCTGGATTGACCTTTGTCTCACGATGCTCCTTGCAGTTGGGAGTATCATGTTGCAGTTCCTCTTTGTTTTCGTCCTCGTCAGTGAAGAATTCCTCGGCGGGAACTTCGGTGCCGAGATCGCTGCGGCGAGAACTTGGAGGGCAAGCATCGCCCACGACGCAAAGTACAGAGACCTCTCTGGGACGAGTTTGGCCTCCCGGGTCTGCAACGGAGATGGCTCCTTGATCCAATCCAACGAGCAGGCGAACCTCCTAGCCGACATCAACTCATTCCTAGGCCTGCCATCCCAGGAATTCGCCGTGTCCGGTTTGGCACCAGGGATGATCCTCAGCGGGCTTTGCATGTTTCTCTGGTGCATGTACCTCTGCAGAGAGTTCCGCACGATTTGGATTTCTATTGAAGCGATTCTGCAGATTCCACGGGCGCGCAAGACTGTCTTTAGCAACGGCCGCTTCGTCGCCATATCCTACTTCCGCCTCGGAGTCTACCTGATGCTACGCCTGTATCGCGCCTCGATCACGGCCTGCCTCCTCTGGGCTGGGCAGCAGTGGCTTGCAAAAACGAAGAGCATAACGGACCTGATTTTGAATGCCTCAGCATTGGGTACCATCCTCGAGATTGACGAGTTGGTCTTCGCCTCTCTGCTGCCGAAGAAGATCCAGGCTGCCGTCTACAGTTTGGAGGCCGTGAAGGTCCGATACACAAAAGCGAAGAGTCAACTGGAGGGGAGCTTGATCTTCCTTGGAGTCGTCGCGGTGACGCTCACTCCCATCTTCGTCTGGGTCATACCTCTGGTGGACATGATGCAGCGGGTCAAGGTCGAGTTCTGCTTCGGCGCACAGAACTTCGTCGTTGCCTACAACCAGGACTCGCAAACGACGGTCGGCTTGGCGACTCCTTCATTTGCGGTCCGAAGCGAAAACGGCCTATCTCTCAGTGAACGGGCCGTCTTGGGGCACACGGTGCCAACAGCCGAGTCTACCTTCGTGGGGCCGTACGACTGGAATCTGATTTATTTCTCAGACGATCCGGACTCGTTTGCCCAAGATACTGTGATATCCCAAGCGTCTGTTTCCGCGCAGACTACGGCTTGTTTGGATGCAGATAACTGGCTTCGTCGTTACGGCCCCGTCTTCACGGAGAGACACATGCCACGATTCCACGCCGCCGCGGCCATGATCGGACGAGACAACGCCACCTCCTGCGCAGAGCTGGCGGATAAGTGCGATGACTTCGACTCGCGTGTCCTGCGCTCGGTCTGCCCTCGCACCTGCGATTGCCACCTGCCGCAAGCCAACCAATGGTTCAAGGTCCCCGCACAGGGCTGCCCAGACGTCTGCCGAGAGGAGGCCGCCACGCGCTCCCAGGACATCCAGTGCCGTGACAGCCCCGTGGGCGAGGATTGGCTGTCTTTCTGGGACAGCTACCCGGATGTCATGCAAGAACATCTGGGGGTCAACTTCTCAGACCCAAACAACCCGGTCACGGGTGCTGAGTTCGTTCATGGCATCGTAGGGTTCATGAAGACCGCAGGGTGCCCTGGCCTCATGTCTGTGCAAGAAGAGCCCATCACAAGGACTCCCTGGTGCCAGGGAAATCAGCTTTCGGCATCCTTGGCTTACATCTGCCCGGTCTCCTGCGGCTGTTTGGTGGAGAATGTCCCCGACTACTGCCCACGCAGTTGCAAGGCTTGCGGTGATGTGGCCAACTTCCCAGCCAATGCGAACATGGCCAGTTGTGTGGAGGCAAAGCAGCTTGGCATTTGTGGCATTCCCGAGGATGCAGCGAAATACTGCGCTGACACCTGCGGAATCTGTAATGGGACCAGCAGTGCTAGTACAGTTTGTCCCGATGGTCCCCTACCCGCCGTGTTCGGCCTGGGCAGCTGCGCAGACGTCCAGGCTGCGGGCTGGTGTCCCCTGTTGAGCTTCTTGGAGTCTTCGGTGAGTTTGATCTGTGGTCGATCCTGCGGTACGTGCACCTGAGAGTTCTGGGTGACCCTCCAGGAGCGCGTCTAAGTCCTTGCTCGTTCTTGTCTAAGTCACACTGTAGTGCCCCATGTGAACTGGCTGCCGGGCTTCATGCTTCCCGCACCTATGCCCCTGCCGCTTCGGCTTAGACTGAAACCTGAAACCCGATGCAACTGTGCCTAAAACCCGAAGAGCGCACCCTGCAAACCGGCGCCCAGTGGTATCTTCGAAGTCACAGACGCCTGCTAGTGGCCAAAGGCCCGTCACCATGCCAGATGCGAAGCATCGGCGCGAAGAAAAGTGGAGGCTAAAAGGAACTTGTCAGTTTTGCCAGCTGATGCTGGGCACGGTGTGCTAGGATACGGGGGGCCGGTACTGCCTTGCGTAGTCCCTCTCCGCCGACCTGGCAACCTCGCCCGGAGTTGCGAGAGCCCAAACCTGTGGGAAAGAAGCCTTTGTGACTGGAGCCCTCACAGCCCTAGGTGTTTCTCGCCTCTTTGAAGCCCATCTTCTGGGGGCAGAAGTTCCCACAGCTGATTTGGGCGGTCGCACTGGTGATGAGCATCCTGGCCAGCAGGGACGGGTTTCGAGCTTCCGGTGAGGGGCTTGGACGAGTTGCTTAGGACCCCAGAAAGCCGACAGAAGCCGACGTTTTGCAGATGCGAGCTCAGGAAGCCTTAGACTTAGACTCTGGATCCTCAATTTGTCAAAGGCACCTTGAGCTTACGACCCCCGCTGCAACCAAGACGCTTGCGTCTTCCAGCTCCTCTACATGATTCCCGCTGCTGCGTATGATGCGTGGCAGCCGCCACCCGAATCATCAGCGGCCTTGACATCATTCCCAGTTTGATGAGATGGGTCCGGAGCATCGAGCAATGGCCTTCCATAGAAAAGAACCATCTCGCGCCATCTATATGCAGATGTCGACGCAAACAGGTGTCTCTGTTTGTCAGGCAATGAAGGATCGAAGGCATGACTTCAGTTTCTGCGGAACGCCTGCATGAACAAGCTTGCAAGTGAAAGCGCAGCACAAATCCAGAGGGCGCGTGCAAACGCAAAAAACTCGAACAGCAAGACGCAGAGCAACACAAGTGTTCAGAGATGGGTTTGCACGCACAACTCGCGTTGGGCCCACGTACACCAGCAAGACAATTTGGTTTTCTAGGGCTAGTTCTCACGACACTGAGAAGCCCCAATGGAATGCCCATTGAGCTTCCAACTTTAGATCCCGACCCTATATGCCTATATGCCTAAACCCTACATCTCAGACCGTGTTCAAAAAGAAGCTGCGACCGAATACACTCTAAAGGGCCCTCAAGCCTAACACCTTTAAAGCAATACCCCAAAGGACCCTCAAAAAACTTTTGAAAGGTTGAGCTGCAGAAGCCGGCCCTCCTCTCGGGTTCGCGGGGCCCGAACCCTAGGAACCCTGGCACTCTCCTTTCTCTCTTGTGCCCTAGGAAACAAACCCGGGATGTGTGCGCGTATGTATATGTATATACACACAAGAACACGTTGGTAAGCACAATCATTATATCCATCTATCTGTTTGTCTATCTATCTATCTGTCTGTCTGTCTGCCTATCTATCTATCTATC